CTAGAGACAATGATATAACGTTTGTGGTTTTAAATATTCGCTAATACTGAGATTTTGCTTACTGTTAACCGAATGTTCATGACCATGATATATGATTTTAATTTGTTGATTCTACTAAACAAATATTTTTATTTACTTATTTCAGCCAATGTAAATGCACCTTAAATCAATTGCATTTACATTTTTATCATCCTTTACGGTCACCATATAGGTGGAAATTTCTAATTCTTTACAAAATCTCATCGAATGTATCTTACGGTTCCGGAATCCGACTCATGCACATAGCAGAAGCCACAGGAATATTCATCAATAAACATAGCCTTTGTACATAAAAGAAGTTTATATAATCTTGGAATCTAAGGTCGTGAGGATTTGTAGCTCAGGTGGATGATTTTGATGGATTTTCGTTCGTGAAGCTTTCATTGTTATCCTTTATTTTTCATCGAAATAACGAAGTAAATAATGACAGGTTGATGGTCAGCAATAATCAAACAAGACCAAGGTCTACAGGACTAGCTGTGAGCCATATGTGGAAAAATTTGAACACTTCAACTCTATAATACTTCGTTCAGAATAACTATAAAAGCTCCACGACCAGACCATCCAGCTCAGAGAATGGAAATCTACCAAAACCTTTGAATCTAACTTGGCTTTCTACATAGATACCAATACATACTTCAAAACCTTTCTTCCCCTTCTCTGAAAAATTTCTGGAATTCAATTTGATTAACACATAAATTTATAATTCTAATGTTATGTCCCAAGGAATCGTCTGATTCTTATTTTTAGATGGTTATCATATGTTTCAGAGAATATCGTTTACCATTAATAATGCCCACTGATATTAGAAAGAAACCTTTAAAAATACACTCTTATAATCCACATAATCAAGATGGTATATCACTAGTATTAGACTTGACAAATGTCATATGCGAATCAAGTCAGTAACGGCCTGCTTGAGCATCTGGGCTGCCTGTTCCTGCCATCTAGATATTTCAACAAGTTATCTAATTTTGTTTGTTTTAATGTATCATTATGTCTATTAATCGCATGACCTATTGTGCTGCGTTTCTGAAAAGTGTACAACCTTTCGTTGTCAAAGTTACAAAAAGCTCAAAAAGAGAGGATGTTGTTGGTGGCAATATACAACGAAAAGAATGTACATTATTCAGATGTTCATTTACTGGACTGTTAACATCTAGCTGGCGATCACTCAGTATTTATCGCGAGGACCGACCAAGAAGAAAGAAACGGAAACTTGTTAAAATACTTTGTGCTGAGAATTCTATATTGTACCAATAATATAATATTGAATAAAGCTAATAATAATAATAATAATAATAATAATAATAATAACCACTTTGTTAATCATATCTAATTTTCACGGTATCCGTCCTACTTATTACTTAACAATTTCATAAATAACAAAAACATATTTACATCCAATTTTGATTATGTAACTATTTGTAATAATTAACGGATTATGGGAATTCACTTTGATTATACTTTTAATTTTAATTTTCCAAACGTTTTGTAACTAACAGTTTACTATTTTGTTAAATTGACTAACAACCATCTAATTGGTATCGACTTTCTCCTCACTTATAAAACATGTATTAGTGTAGAGACTGGATGAAGATCTAATTAAAAAGAAATATTTCTTCGCTCAGCTTGTCTTTTTAATGTCTCAATAAGAATATTCAATGAAATGAAAAATGACAGTTTCTTTATCATCAACATGAAAGTACATAAAAGTGATGGGATCATAACCTTTTTTATTATTAGATTTACATATATGTGTTGATAGGAAAACATGGGACAATATAGTTATGATAAACAGTTTAGGTATAAATGAAAATTTCCATTACTAGTTGAAAAATACAGACATCAATTAATCCTTTGTTTTGTTGGAAAATAGTTACGGAATAGAGAGTGATCAGTTTTCACACTGATACTGTGAGGTGTCAAATGAGAAAAGATTGCTTTATGACGCAAGAAGAAAAATTCAATTTCCTGGAGGCTTACTTTTTTACCAGTTTTCGTATGTCGCTCAAGTTTTTTGATCAAAATAATAATAATGATAATAATTTTATTCTTCAGTACCAACAGTTCGAAATTGTGAATTGTTTCTTCTTTGCATAAGTTTAGACTGTTATTATATGAAAATTATTAACATTTCTTGGTAATCAATATTTTCTACTCATCTTCGACTGGGAAAGTTAATATTTTCCAACTCCCACAAACAAAATGCAAGAAATACAATATATTGGTCACTCGTTTTTCCTCAGAAGTTTAGAGACAGAGGAGAATAAACTAGAAACTAAGTGTTTTGTTTTGATATTTGGAGTGTTGAGCATCATGATAGTTTGTAAACACTTCATAACACCGAGTAAATGCAAACAGATAGAACTCATAATTATTCAGTTTAAATAAACTTTAAAGTAGGTTGCTGTATTGCTATATGTGCTCAACTACAAAATATTTAGCAAAACATTTAAGTAGACTACCGATATTTCAAAGAACCTTAAATCTGATCTGAATCTGTTACATTTGCTTATGTAGTATTATGACTGCTTACATATTGGTTTGGTTAAGAGCTTTCCTCTTGTGTGGAAATCAATTTAGTGTGTGCTTCATCTTACTAAACAGATTATTCTGACTACTTTGCTGACTGTATATAGATGCACAAAATGGCAAATGGAATGGAATACGTCGTTATCATACATGTTATGATAAGTTGTATGCGAAAACACTAATTTCAGTTTATCTGCAACATGACAGCGTTGTATATATTTCCAATGACAAATGTTTTAGCAAAATTTATAATTTATAATTCCCAAATAAATAGTATCTTCAAGACGAAATAATGAAGGTCGGAAAGATGGTAATTATGTGAGTTTGCAAATTTATCAATCCGATTGTTTCATAAGTGTTTAAATTCGGTGTTCTCTTCAAATAAAACTACATTCATCATTCACCATCAAGGGACTTGTGTTGCCAGATAAGAAGACATTTTCAAATATGTGTCATAAATTTTAGGGCTTTCGAAACATTATTTTATTTGATTATAAATTAATTTAAATTACCTTCATATGATTAGGTGGACCGATATACTGTCAACTGGGATTGTGGATAATGTTGATTCATACCTGTTCTGTTTATCTACACATTATTTAAGCTTGAGGCTAATGACAAAGAAATCTCTATCTCAACCACTTTCCATCTAAATTTAAACTAGTGTTATTATCTTCACTTCATTAAATGAATCGAATAATCAACGAATTGATAAATAAGCATAATTAGATTCACAGAAATCTATTAGCTTAATAACTAGCTTAATATTTTGTCACCAGTAGAAAAGCAATTACAAAATTACTTTGAATAACTGGTTATAAGACATTATGGTTAAAATTTGATTTGAATAGAAAAAAGAAGGCAATCTTATTTTTCAAATTAAATTGTTCTCAAAAATATTAATAAAAGTTTATCTCTCAAATTTAGATTTCCATCTATATACTTAATACTGTTTATTAGTAGAGTAAAAACAAGTTTGAAACGAATACTGTTTTACTGTCGATCAATTACCTGCATTTCACTTAGATGTCAATGTTACCATTTGTTATTTGCTAACAAATTATTTAAGCTATTATACATTTGACATTATTAAATCGTTTACTATCTACTGATGAAGGTCAGGTACATTTGTGTATAATGATTGTAGATTGTTATGTAATACACTTTCAAACTGCATCGTTACCTTTTAACAATATAATAAGAATTTCATTGAAATTTATTTTTTCAAATGAAATTCAAATGAATTACATTCATCATCCTTTAACATATTTCATCATCAACTTCAAACTATGAATTCAATATTGAAGATGTTTAATGGATCTTATAAGAAATCACATGAATAACATTCCAGTTTTTCAAGATGGATCATTGAAAATGTTAATGTATATAAATAGTTATAGAATTATAGTGAAAAACGTTATATTGTTGAGTTACACATTTCTTTATAATGTACAATAAAGGTTCTAAAGAGTGATGGAGGCTATTGATTTTAACACTTCATATTATTTTTAATAAAGAATTAGTTGACTTTCATGAAAACAATTAACCTTTTAAAACAAACTTTTTTTGGGTAAGACACATTTATGTAGGATCTTTAATATATTCTGTATCATTTTGGAAACAGAAATATACATTACAATAACTGATTATTTCATAATTGAAATGAAGAAGTGTCTAATACATATTCTCTATTGATGACTGTTCATGTGTAAATTACTATTATGTCTCGAATTCTATTAGTTGTTACTTCATATTCATTTTTACGACCTAGCAATAACCTTGAACAAAGTTTCTACATTTATATCAGATGGGTTTTGTGGATAATATAGTAATTTCAATGGTTAAGATCATAAGTCAGTTGAAGCTAGACCACCATGGAAAACCTGGAAGCACTGGACGGCCGTTTCGTCCTATTGTACTTCCAGGTTTTCCATGGTGGTCTAGCTTCAACTGACTCATAATCTTAACCATTGAAAGTTTCTACATTTGATACGTTTGTAAACAAAGAGAAAAAAACTGATATTATTGCACATGATATGGCTGATTCACCAAAACATTTGAGCGTGTAATATTGTGATTTGTGGCGTTTTATGTCTTCAACACATGTTAATCGATGGGAATGACTTTATTTTCCATTACTAAAGAAAAATCTTCATGACAATTTATAGCGCAGAGAATCACTGAGAACAAGTGGATATTGGGCAGTATTTTTCTACGTTTATTCTTTTCAACTCTACAGTGGTCACTGTGATTCATAAAAAGTACAAAATATTCAGATAATATCTTACAGACAATGATAGGTTTTAAAACATTTCATAAACTTTTTCCACTGTTATACTTTAATTTCTAATTGAAAACTGTCATACAAATAATAAAACAAAGCATCTATTAGTTAAAGTACTCATAGAAATATTTAATCTACTCACCTAATAAAAAGTTTCTAGCACGCCACTGTGCTTTCCCCCTTTGATTAGCTACACGACACCGCATTAAAACTGTTTCACCTTCAAGTACTTCATATCGTTCAGCTGGTAATTCTCGTAGACATTGTGATTTTTTTGCTTCTTCTTCAGGCGTACATGGACCAGATTGATCAACAAAAAGGGATGGAGATTTAGGTAAGGAAGAAGTTCTTTGAGATATAAGTCCATCTGCATCGTTATTAGATTTATTTACATCCAGTATCATATGAGGATATACATTCAAATTAGATGTTATTGTTTGAATTGGTTTTGTTCGGTTGAATTTAGATTTAGACATAGAAAAAAAATCCAAAGATAAATTAGTACGCCAATTTAAAATAGTGGGTAATCCAACAGGAGGTAATTTAGAAATATTTCCAGTAAATAAATTTAATGTATCCGAGTATAACTGACGTTTATGCATGTTTTTTGTAGATTGAATACTTAACGGAGTTGATAACACTAATGCAAGTAATATTAAATGATTTAAACAGCGAGGAATAATTGATTCCATGGAACAGACCTCATTATTATCACTTCTGATTATCCATATTCTCTTGCGATATTTTAAAATCAGACACATTTTCACATATTAAACTATGTAACCACTCCACCGTAATGTTGGATTCACAGTTTCCTCCCTTATACATAAGCTTCTTTCATAGATTATCACCATTTTAACATCAGCAAACAGAAATTTCTTAAAATTTAAAATATTCTAGTTTTTTCATTACTCCAGAAAAAAAGACTTTATTTATTATGTAATCAACATATTCACATCCATCATTTCTGTAATTAGTTAGTAGCCATTGCTCAAACCTGAAATGTGTCTTGATTCTGGAGTTTTGGGTTGAGGAATATACGTTTTTGATATAATTTCTTTTAAACCAATCATATTTAAGTAGAATATTTTTTCACATATTAGTCTAGGAAAAAGAGTTTCTGGGTTTTCGGTTCACTCTACTCTGATGAAAACATTTATGTCTATAGGTTCTCCAATACCACACATAGTTAAAATAAATAATATTCACCTGTTTATTTCATCAATTTTGTAAAAATAGGTCACATTTTACAAACAAAAGGAAAGCATATGGCCTCAGGTGTAGTGAGCAATCTAACATTTTCCTCACTCCTTTTCTTAAAAATGTATTGTTTAGTTATTTTTGTGCGACCTACGTATGTCTGTCGATTTATTTACTGTTAGTTTGTTGTCAGTGAATTTATTTAATTTGTTAACAGTGTGTCAAAATTACTCTGATTCAGATATCCCAATAATCAAGTAGAACTGGTGAAACGACCTGAAGATTTTGTTTACTATTTCTCACATTTCATTATGATAAACGATCTACTTTTATAGGACTTCGTTACTTCATTATGAAGATTAGTCAGGAACATCTATATGATGTAAATAAAACTCATTAGTTACGGGTAAATCGTAATGCTTTTCAATGAAAATCTGAATATCTTCTATGAAGTCCATTTGTTAAACGTTCATGAGATAACTGATGTCGTTTGCGTATAATGTATGTAGAAATAATGGTCAGTATCAAGGTAAATTTTAAGGCGATAATGAAATTAATTGAAAGACTGCTCATCAACGGATAGTTGATTAAATACATAACAGAAGAATTAAAGAATTTCCAATCAAATTCTGAACTAGTGTTTTAGGGATATCATGATCTCTACGAGGGTCAAGTGGATCCAGGTCCCATTTCATGCGTAGCTGTATGTGTAAACTTCTGAAAAACACCAGGCTCGGTCGCTAGGTCGACTGTTTACCGTTTCATAGTACTCAGTAATCCTTATAGTGATATAATTTTCAGACAAAAACTATTATTAGATAATTGGTCTGTTAGTTTTGGTTTGTAAATAAAATAGTCGATTCAAAGAGATGATCGATTTAAATTTTCCGGTTTTTTTCTTTAAAAATAATTCATAAGGTTCAGCTGGTCATACATAAATCTGAAATTTTTTAAGGTCGAAGTCATGATCTGCTTGTAATGCTAAAATACATTGTACATTTTGTCATTTCATTATTCTACAAAGACTGTAGTATCACTCATATTACTGCTGCTGCTGCTGCTAATACTTTCAATGACAATGATGAACATTCTACCTTTATTGTTACAACTACTCTTCTCCTTGTTATTTGGTCACTTCTACATCTTATCCTGGATTAAAATGGAGTTTTCTAGGTTGTAAGTGAAATTAAGATTTCAATTGCCTGGTTATTGTTACATTCTTAATCGAACTGAACAGATTTGAAATAAACTTGTTATGACATTTATGACATTATAACCATCTAATATTTATTAAATAATGTAACCACGGTAACCATAATTTATAGAATGACGTTTTGAGCATATACAAGACAGCAAGCTAATTACAGATATAACAGGTTGTATAATTAAATACTATTTTTATAGTTATTTTAATAGTATATACATGTAAATGTAAAACAAATCACAGAAATAGATAATGTTATAGTACGTTGACCGTTTATTATCTATTATTCCTACAATCGAGGTAATTATTCTGTACCAGTATTCTTAGTCTATGAACAGTCGTAAATCACTCTGAATTTTTTATTTAATCTGAAACGCTAACTTGAAAATATTGTTTAGATTGAATTGAAATTTTGTTATAAACTGTGGGTATCAGGGAATCAAATCATGAAAGATTCATGCTTCTTTCAATTTAAAAGTCATCAGGACTACTAATGATCTTGAATCAAAAACCTTAGACGAACCGCTTTTTGACTATTTTATTTTACAAAAAACTGAATGTAATTTTGACAGAAATCTATTTCTATCTTATTCAACACTACCTTGCCAATCAGTTCATCTACTTATCATTAATATCTCACTATTTCATAACCATTTTTAAAGTGATTTCTGAAATATAAAGAACAAAATGTATAGATTAAACATATGTGCTACTATTTACTAAAGTTAATAACTTTATGGAATATGAAAACAACTATTAGTTATTCTATCCAACTAAAGGGCGATATAGTATCGCAGATCAAACAAATTATAATACAAACCATATAGTTGATAGTTACAGTGAAATATTTTAACTTCAGGCAGTCGAATACATTTTTCTTAAAATAATGGTATTAGTTAAGGTCAATTAACAAATGTTTGAGGATCTAAACTATATATATATGTATGTATATATATATATATATCTTTACAGACCAACGAAGCATACGTTACTTCAGTTATTAAAAATTAAAAAAAACAAAACTGTAATAAGTTACTCAATCAATTGAAGCACAAAATAAAATTTTATTTTTGTTTGTTTCCTTTTCAGATGCTTCACAATTAATTTTCTTCTTCATCTTCTTACTGCTACTATTATTATTATTACTAATATTTATTTATTTAATCTTTAAACGATCGAAAAATCAAAGTGAAACAAAGTTTCTACTTTTTGTTTTGTATCTACATAGTTATTGACTTGTTTTACTCTGTTTAGATTAAATTTGGAACTCTTTTTTGATTTAAATTTATTAAAATCAGAACTAATCAAGGATAAAAGATAAGTAATATATGTTTATATATACAAAAAAAAGTAATTAAAATGAAGCGGTTAAAGTAGTGTATATGGTTATCGTAATAAAATATGAAGTAAATATTTTAAAAAATTACAAAGAATAATATTTTGAAAATCATATTGGTGTGTAAGAAAATGTAGTTTGCCAATTGATGGACTATTTACTTTATAGTAAAGGGTATAGTAATACACAGTAATCTGACGTAATACCATATTTAAGTACGAATAAATAAAAAAAACGAACAAATGGTTATGATAGTGAGTAGTATCAGTAGCTGACCAAAGCCACACTAGTTAATTTATTCTTGTTATTTCCCATGAGTAGAAAAATCTTTGTTTTGACGTTTCGTAACTTAGTGTAAGCCGCTTCTTCAGAGCTATTCTTCTTATTGGGAACTAAATGATTCACTGGTGATATATATTTTTGAAATTTTATGCAGAAATTAGAAGTCACTATCGTAACATTTTTTGTTCCTTGAAATCAATAAGCCTTTAAAGAAAAACTTTTTGCATTTGAAAACACCTATGGGTAGTGTTCTTAAATAACACAATGTTTAGATGACAGTATTATGTTTGGAATAAGGTTTTTATTGAAATGAAACATATTAATTCGTACGTCATCGGTACAAACAGTTGATGTGTTTATGATTAATTTTATAACAATGTAGCTACTAATGTATATCAGTGTTAACGTTAAAATTGTTCTTAAAGTGAGTACGTTTAACTTCAAGTGACAGCCTTTTATCTACCGTGCGACAACAAATTCGACATGTTAGTGAATATCTGGACTTGCTTTCGCAATGATTAACGTCTTATCATGCAAAGTAATATGTAGAGAATCCCAGTCTAATTATAAACATTAAAACTAGTATGTAGATATATGTAGCTGATAAGTTCAAAATATAACTTAAAGCGAATCTTGGATTCAAATGCAAGCTAAAAATTCATCTATTCTACTGGCTACGTCTATACAACCTTTAAAAGATGTATGTACGGTAGGAAAGACTGGCCGAGATTCATTTCGAATATTAACAATGAGATTAAATCAAATCAATTCTAATCATAAAATGAATAACAGTTCACTAAAAAAACAGTCAAATTTAACTTTCGTGCATTTTTATTCACTATAGCAATAAAATTAAATGTATAGTTTCTCCACCAATCACTCTTAACTGTCGTAAGTATGGTATACCTGTAAATAAGCAGACATACATTTCCTTTTCTGTAACTCAAATATGGATAATGTGGAAATAGTTTATGTCGATGATTTCTCAGAATATTTGCTCAGATTAAAAATGTTAACATAGTTTTATACGAATTTACCAATCACTTATCACCACAGTTAGTCAAATTAACATAGGACAGTCAGAACAGTAAAATGATTGTAGAGCAACAGTTATGTTTACTTGACAGAATCTGGTTATGGTTATTAGACTCTAAATTGTACATTGAAAGTGAATACTCTACAAGCTTTCAGAAAGCATAAATTATTCAGTAATTGAACTCATGAATCAAATGAAGCTAGATCACTATGGAAAATCTGGAAACACTGGACGGCCATTTAGTCCTATTGTGGAATTCCGTCCAGTGCTTCCAGGTTTTCCATGAGGGTCTAGCATCAATTGACTCAT